TTTATTTTTTTTAACTTCCAAAGTGTCTATAGCTTTAGCAAGTTAGTATTACACAAGAAGTTCAACTCCAGCAGCAGGATGGATTCATTTAAGTCTCATCCCATTCAAAAATAAAGTTTCTAACAATCACCTAACAAACGATTGACATGGATACCTGGCTCGTAATGTCTCTATTTAGATTGAATTACAAAACGGTAGATATCTAATGTTCAGTGACCGCTGTTTGTCCTTCTGGCTGTCGTTGACCGACCACACAGAGGCAGCTAAAATGCTCCCGCTGAAGGCTCAAGTGTATCAGTGACACCTTGGAAAAAGAAACAGGGCAAGACCCTTGGCGCAGGGCCAGTCCTGCTAGAAGGAGTCAATCAGTTCCTGTACGGATACAATGTTAAGACTTTCCAGATTTGAGAGAAACCATCAGAAAAGCAAGTGCCAATAAGATGATAAAACATTGGTTACCTCATCGTTTAATACCAGCACACGATCCAAATGCAGGAAATTAAAAAGGAAAAATACATTTTTTACGTTTTTTGTTGTCATACATGTGGCCAAGCCAGCCTGATACAACTCCCTCAACATCTTTCAATAGACCTTGGTGCCGTCAGGCTTTCCCAGGGGTCCAAAGTTAGAGGCCGTATTTATGTTCATCAGGGCCAGGCAGTCAGAGCAGTGGTTCCCTCCATCCATCAACCACTACACTGCTCATCACTTCTGCACAGGGTGAACTTTCCGAGGCAAAGTGCCTCCGTTCTGCATCGAAGGCAGCGAGACACTGTGAAGATGAGTCACGCTTTCGCCTCTCATTTATTTAATAATGGATGTATTTGTAGCCGTGAGTGAAATAAGGTGGTTAGCAAACCAGAGAAATGCAAAGATGTATTGCATGATAGGATATTTACTCCAGCACTGTACGCCTGCATGATTTGGGTTGTTTGGTTCCTATTTTTTTGCATCTCATTTCACAGAGGTTTCATACTTCATACTCTACTTCTACAATTACGTATAGGCTGCAGTTATACATTACTTTGCATTTTACGCTAACCGTATGAAATGGAATCCGTTAGTACAGATTCCCAAGTTGTTTTCAATTTCTTACTGGTTTGGATCTGGTTACATTTCTGGTAAACGGTTCCACCGAAGAGACATTTCTGAGTGGGTTGTAGTTAAACGACTGAAAGCAAATAATGTTGAACAAAGAATACAGATGTATAATAAGCTGTTTTTTTTTTACTTTGCACTATTAATCATCCTATTGCAGTGATCCTTTGAAGCTTGACGTATCGCTAGGTAGGGACGTAGTTCAAACCAGCTCCAGCTACACTCTCATCAACTGGAGGAAAATGACTAATATCCCTGCGTGAGTGTCCTTGAACACTACACCAAATAAGGCCTACATGATGCGCAGCTGATCCTGCGTTCTTCTTGTGAAGGGAGAAAGTGAAAAGTACATTTTTCTTACAGAAAGCAATACATCATCCCATTAGATTACATGGTTGATGAGCAGTCATTGTCTTCATCATCCATCCACGTTCCACCACGGTGCTGAAAATACTTGGCCATTAAGAACAGAGCGGGACATTTACAGAGAAAATGAAGCAAGATGGATGAAGCAGCAGGAGGAGGAGGCGGCGGAGGAGATTATCTTACATTTATAATGGTGCAGCTTATTAAAAAGGGGAGGTCATTATTTTTATCTGGAGAGTAGAGAGAGGGCGGCCTATTCTTAGACTTTACCCCTGTGGGTGGTCGACAAGATGGATCCACAGTTTTCTATGAGTCTGTTTCAGACTCCCAAACCCTGCCAAACTACAGCGTTATCAAACGCACAATATCTCTGCCTCACTGGTTTGTGAGAGGAGTTTACTTTTACGGCAGTTCTGAAAACGGCTGAGTTGCAGTTCTTCAGCTAATACATTTAGTGCCACAGGCGACAGCTGGGATTGCCGACACCACAGAATATAAACTAAGTAAATAAAACCATTTACCCGAGGGCGAGTCACTATTCCTCAATGTTTTTTATTTAGTTTTTGGGGTTCAAAGTATCGTATGACACCCGGGTTATTGTTCCCTGGAGTGGACTGATACTGTCAGCATTATTCAGCTTTCATATCTCGGAACATCATAACAAGAAACATCTACCGTCATTCTGGGAGAGAGTTTGATGACAGTGAAACTAATATGATGATAAATCAAAAAAGCTCTTATGGAAATACAAGCTTATAAAATTAATGGTTTAAATGGCAAGAACCAGTTGAGGTTAAACTCAACTGGTTCTACAGTAAGCTAAGCTTTGGACATAAGCCAAAGAAATTGGTATAATTATGTTTCTACATATTCATGAATATCCCTAAGATCAGAGAAATGCTTCCTTTTAGCAACAAAGAGAAAATCATTCGTGCTTTTTATTTCCTGAGGACTGAACTATTGTTCCTTGTAGCTGAACTTCAGACTGTGCAGAACTCTGCAGCAAGACTGCTGACAAAGACCCAAACGCTGCCTATAAATCCCTATTGTCCCAATGGTCCCTCCAATCCGCTGGGTTAGGCCCGCTAGCGGTTCCACAGTCCAGCTTAAGGTCTAAGGGTGATCCAGCATTTGCTGTAGTGACTTCTTATAGTATTCAATTTTCTGACGCTGTTTCCACTTATATATATAAATATCCAACAGAGCTTAAATATAGCTTGTTGTTAAACCACTCAATTATAAGTGTATTCAAATAGTCTCAACTGTCTTACCTCAACTTGTTTGGAATAATGCATTTTTAAATGTGTTTTATACTTCATTTAATTGTGTGCTGCTATTTGGCTGTTTATATTTCTTGTATGTATGCAAAGCACTTTGTCCTCAAAGCTTGAAAAAAAACACAATTATTATTAATGAAGACTTGCCGGCAGTGCTGTGAGGCTTCATAGTGGTACTTTGAGCTAAATGCAAACTGCAGTATACTAACCAAATAGCCTAGAGGATCAGAACAAACTCAAGATTACAATGCGAACTTGCTAATGCTGAGCATGATCACCATCTTTTGGCGTCTTAGTATGTCAACAGCTGGTAACAAGCAATGACCCCAAAGTATGGCTGATGTTGATGGGAATGTCATTGGTATTGCAGATATTTCAACATAACCCAAAGTATCAGAACGTTGTAACCTGATGAAAGTACTAAAAGACAGCATAGAACATTTTATACAAATTCATGGTTGTTCCAATTATTTTGTTTTGTGGTCAAAGGGATTTTTCCACCGCAGAAACACGAGGCTGGTGTGGCTAACATACAGAAGAGCGAGTGCCATTAATCCCTATAACCTTGTGGGGTTTGGGCTGCTTAGTCGCAGGTGTGTGTGGCTGTGCTCCAGCAAAGCGAACGGACTATTTTAGGAGAGTTATTGCTGGTTCTGCCGGCCTTCACCTTGTCCACAGTGGACATGCCTCTCATGCACCTGTGCCAAAGTTAGAACGCAAGCCTCTCTCTGCAGATGAAATTACACCAGCCCTCAAACACTTGGATTGTAATTTGCATTCAACCCACAGGCCGTCTGTCTCTGTTTCTTAAAATGAATTGGATGTTGACATCATAGCCTGCAAGAGCAAGTGAGAACTAATGAATTCAAATTTTGCTGGAACACATATCAAGAACGATTGAGTCCTTCCCACCTCTTTTAAATACATCATTCGACTTCAACATTCAGTTTTAAGGGAATATTATTTACGGGCACACAGTTGATAAATAACCTTGCATGTGTGAGAGGTTGACGGGGATTTTATTTTCACGTGAGCAGCAGTCACATTACCACCGTCTTCGTCATGTATCAGATGTCCTCTGCTGTGGAAAGAGGGACTCAAAGATCGGGCACTGAGAGACTGACTAAAGGAAGAAATCCACCTAAAGGCAGATGCAGACATCGGAGAGCTCGAGGGGGTCGGAGCTCTCACAGAGGAAGTGAAGGGCTCACGTAACATCAAGCCGGGAAGAAGGCAAGAGGGGATATTTTGCCTGAAAAAGGTGAAGGCGAGACCTTCCAAAGGGGTTTGCATGGGAGAACTGAAAGTGCGGGTTGATGGGTTACGGAAGTCAATGACATTGTTATTGTGTAAGAACCAACATTTAATTAAATGACCAAAAATAATCCAAAACATTTAAAGATGTTAAACATATCAGAAGGAGCTTTTATTTTGTGGTTATTTTTTTGCTTGTGCTTACTTCCCCCTTGTGCTTTGAAGGCAATAGTTTAAATAATTGGGCAGAATCAGCTATTCTGTTGATGAGGTAAACTGACAGTAATGCCTGCCAAATGTCAGACAAGCCTATTTAAAAACACGAATTAACAGGCGAGCAGCAGAAGGGCAAATTTGATCAGGATCAGTTCACTAAACATGATGGGAGTATGTGACAAAAATGTCTTTTGAGGGCCAGCGGGAACTTTGTTGAGGCTGCGAAGATAAATTCTGTGTTTGAAAGATGCGGCGATGTACCAGGCAAGGAGGGTTTAATACGTTAAATAAATGTAATGTCACATTGTTAGAACTCCATTTGACCTGATTCCTTGAATCAAGATAATAAGCAGCTAATTAATAGATGATTAAACAATTTAGTTACAGCCCATCTTTCTGATTTTTGGGGGTTTAGCAGAGCAAAGTCCAACTGGAATAACACCAGTAACATTGTATTATTTTGGGGCCTCAAATGTAGTCCCAGCAGCACCCTTTCAGAGCCAACCCTGTGGTGACCTCGTCTCCACAATATTTAGCAGGAACCCGCCCTTGTGAGTTGATACAGGAATCCTCAGCTGATTTCACCAGCTGCTTCTCGCCCAAGTTTTTTCTCCCACGTCTGCCAGACTGGCTGCTTTCCAGATACTGTCAATGTCAAACTGGCAGATACGTCAGGAGGTCCAGCTGTGATGAAGGTTTTATTCTCTCAATGTGAGGTTTCACTGTTTATTTGTTTTACGTCCACCGGCTACTTAGAACTTCAGATTTCAAGGAGACACAGGCGAAAAAGACACAAGGACAATAAAGATTTAATGACATATAGATTAGTAATAAAAACCTAAAACCAATTGAAGGTTTAAACTAAGAGCAACATTTTGCTTTCCAGTTACCGAAGCATGAAATTGAATTTTTGGGTAGATAACTGCTGCCACCTAAAGGTCAGAGGTCTACCTATGTATATGAAGTAGCTGCAGGTATTTGCATCTTCTACAAATGAATTTAGTTGCTTCAGTAAAACCCATGAATTACCTTTAAATGGCTTCAAACTAAATGCCCACCAACACAAAAATCCACAATCCACAAAAAGTTTAATTCAGAGAGGTACATTTGACCAGGAAGTACCTGGCGGAAAACTTGCCTCTCAATTCAGGGCAAGCACTGAAGCATGAAATTGAAATTATTGATGGGCACACTCAGACACGCAGAGGTCAGGGAGCCAGAATTAACTGCACGTGCTCCTGTGTTCGTTTGCTGGTTGTGCAGACTTGCAGGTCACTTATGAAACAGTATAACATCACACTATCAGAATAATAGTACCAGCATATAAACACACAGGTGCTAGTCAACAGTATGATAACCAGTGCTCACATTCAGAAAAGTTTGTGCATGTTTATTATTTTCAGTTAAAAAACACGATCTTGTGCATATGTAAGCATACTCTTTAACGTAGACAGTCCTCCATAGCTTGCAGCTCCTGTATTTCGTCACAGTGGGGGCCAACGTGAAGGCAGAAGAGTCGTCTGACCTTGGGGATGACAGAGAGGGCCGGGCCTCTGGCGGCGCTGTGAGGATGAGAGGACAGAGACACTAACCTCTTATTTCCTCTAATAATGCCAGTCAACACAATACAATATGTGCATCTATTATTACATGAAAAGGAGCATGCCCTCGCAATGGTCCCTGTACAACTCACTCACCCATTGAAGTGCAGCTGAGCTAATTTGAAGAGCTGTCGACCCAATTCAATACTGTCTTCCCCGTACTGGGCAGCAATAGCAACAGCACTTCTCTCCAGATAGGACGCTGCATTATTCCAGTCACCTACGGGAACACAAGAAAGGACAAAAAAGCAGTCAGAGAACTGACGGAATCAAAACTGTAAGTCTGGTCATGACTTGATAGAGCTAGTGGAGAATTACATCATTGGTTTCTTGGCTTCGGCCACATAATGCATCTGGAAATAAACGTTTAATGCTGTCACACAACACCATCATCATCATCACTGTGTCTGTTTATCAGCTGCTGGTTCTACTCTTCAATGAAAGCCAGTACTATTTCTTTCCATTCCATTGATCCTTGTCCGGTCTAATAAAATAGTGGTGACTGTACCAGGAATTCACCGTTGAAATTCTTAACCGATTTGTAGCGATATGCATTAATCAAAAAGTGTGCCGTAACCACACAAAACAGCCGAGGTGTATTAACCACAGAGCTCATGCATTATCATTCTCACCCATTGTAGCATGGGCCCTGGCTGTTGCATCGGCCAGCTCCCCCTGTAGCGGGTGTGTCTCTGCGAGGGTCAGCCCAGGTTGATTCTGGGTCCTTCTCAACAGTCTCAGGGCCTCATCTGAGGGAGGAGCAGGAGTAGACCATAGGAATGTTAAAAAAGACCTTCTGTACAAATGAAAAGGATGCATTGATGAATCTGCCTTCTGCATCAGCATCTGGATGTAGCATTTCCCAACCACCTGGCCTCTCCCTTTCCATGAGGTCAACAGCCTTCTCCAAGTCCGCCTTGATCTCCTGCAGCCTGCGGCTCACTTCAGGAGCAGACACGCGGTGGCCACAGGATGACCGCAAACATATGAATCCTTTTGCTCCTTCCTGCAAAATTATTTAAGATCAAGGTGGAACAAAAGCAAGATGGATGTGGAAAGAGGCGGTCATCATGTATGATTGTACGAAAAAATATCCACATCAACGCCTACTTTGAGAAATCCTTTGCACTTCCCACACACAAGTCCACCTCCAACACCCGACCACTGTGGTGTGGACTCGGATCCCTTCGCCTCTTCCTCCTCCTCCTGCTGCTGCCGCTGGGTGCAGGCCTCACACTGACACAGGAAATAGTACTGTTCCTGCAGGAGACGCTGCCGTTCTCGGGTTGCCATCCGACTGCTGTGAGGACCTTAGCGGGGAAGGAGGAGGAGGGAGACGCCAAAAGTAATAACTCACATAAGATAAAAGTAACAGAACAGCACTGCTGGAAGCAATGGAAAGTCATTAAAGTGGGAGGCGATGTCTGGAAGTGCTGCATCAGGGATGGCTGTCAGACAAAATGAAGAGGACCACATTTAAACTCAATCCCGCCGGTCTGATGGCGGATAAGCCTCAGGGGGGCAAGGACCTATATGTCTGGGATTATAGCAAAGCCTCTCTGGGAACTGGTCACTGTTTACATTCCAATTGGCGAGTTGAGATGCAAGACCGGAGTCCGAGTTGAAAGACATCCCCCTTTTTTGACCGGATTGTTTCACAAGTAGCCGGTTACCCTGTTTTCTTACCATAGCAGTGCAGGATCTCTTGTCCTGCAGGGATAGCTTTGGATGCTCTGACAGTCACAGTGACTCCGCGGGCTGTGCTTCCGTACTCAGTCACACTCTCGCTGCAGTCAGCTGACACACTGGTTCCAGTGCTGAACCGCAGGCTGGTGTTGGGACAGCAGGAGTGATTCAGAAGACTGAGAGTTGGGAATATTGCCGTTGCAATGCGGATTTCGCTGCTGGACTGAACTGGTGAGTTTGCTGCTCCTGGTCGGTGGAGGAATAAGAAAGTAAATAGGTCATTGTGCAACTCAAGAACATGCAAATATGCAGGAAAGATTCACTTGTGAATTTCTCAACCTGTGTCTTGCAGCGCGAGGATGGCCTGGGCGTTACATCTCAGCTGCAGGACGTGCCTCAGAACTGCACTTCCCAGCAGCCACACGTTCGCGCTCCAATCCGCGGCGCTTCCCTCCTTCTCTGGTGATTGGCTGTCCGCCCCCAAGAGTCTACCGAGGTCCCGGGAGGGGGGCGGGGGTCCTGCTTTACTTATCTTTAGTAAAAGTGTCGCTATGGTAACCGCACAGAGGAAACGCACTTCGGGGCCATGGAGATTCAGGTGGTGCTGCAGGTGGAACACGCTCGGGTAAGAGTCCCCGTGGTATGAGGTGCAGGGATCGGGTTGATTCGAGAGGCGCGGGTCGGAACCACTGGACTCTCTGTTCGGAGAGCTCTGCGACCCTTTGTGCTCGTCTCCGGTTGAAACCCGAGCAATTTTGATGTTTTTTAACCCCGCCTTCAGAGCCACCCTCAGAGCGAGCTGTGACATCACACCCATCGCCTTCAGATCCGCTGCCAGCGGACATTCCCAGCGGTGGTGCTCCTCCCAGGCGTCTCGCTGGCAGGGAATGGAACAGTACCGGCTGTAGCTGCACCCCTCACACGGCACGGGACACAGCGTTTGGGTCAAACACCTGTGACAGCGCCTGTGCTCCATTCCAAACAACACCGCCGCCTCCGCGTGCCGCCTTCCTCCGCCCTTTCCTTTCGCTTCCTCCATTCCTGGTATGAGGACACAGCTGTACGGCCTGTCATGCAGGAGCACTTCCCCAGCTGCTACACCCTCTGCAGCCACAAGGTGTCGACCTTTCTCCGAAGTGAAGCCAACAGCAGCTCGAGGACGAATCCCAAATTCCACTCCGTCTAGAGGATTGGGACTCTTTGAGGCAGGACGGCGATGATCCTCTTTTGCCTGTCGACCTCCAGAGAGGTGCTTGAGGCATGACGTGCGACGGTCCTCTAGTTTGTGTAAAAGATGAGAGGGGTAGCTGTTCTTTACGGCACGGTCAATGTCATCAAGGGATTCCTGGGAGAAAAAAAACAGACATACTGGAATGTGAGTGACTATAAAATCTAAGACAACTGACAATTTGATTTGATTCAAACTTACTCAGCATGTTTTTAAACCAATCAAAAGTCAAACCATCTATTAGATTAGGGAGTGTTATCTGTAAACACTCAAGGCACTTTTATGTGCTGTTGCTACTACTTCTATGGGGCTAAATCGCTTAACAGATAAAAAGACAAAAGAGATTAATTGGTGAAATCACAAGTTGTGGCTGAAAGGATTCATTTAAATGAGGTATTATAGATGATATTTCATGGGTTTCCGGAAAAAGGTGATGCTGTGAAAACCAGCTAAACTATTGCGAGTCCTCCTCTATGTACTGTGGGCCAAGAGCTGCTTCCTGACACACGCTGTTTGCAGACAGACTGGGTCTGTCCTGCAAATATATATCAAATTTAAATAAGAAGCGGGTTTTAATGCCACCAATAGAACAACACATTGTGTAGCTGTGAGGAACCTGGTGGTGCTGAAGATGGTGGAGCGCAGCAGAGCGGTTGGCGTAGCACAGGGACAGCTGATCCGAACCTTGAGGAGCAAAACAAATGCCCTGTCATGACAGGACACAGAGAAGATGGATATTAGTGCATAGTACTCCAAATTGCATCAACGTTATATTATAATTACAGTTAACACGATTAAAGACTGGCCTCTGCCATGATCCAGTGCTTCACTGAAGTTTAAGTTGCATGTGGGGCAACATAATAATAATAATAATAATAATAATAATAATATGTTCATTTGACCTGTGAATAGTGCAGAGCGGCTGCAGCGTAGTCTCTGCTCTTGAAGCTGGAGTTGCCCCTCTCTCTGCATTTGGCTGCCAGCTCTGCGTCCTTTTGTGCGCAGTATCCCAAAGAAATCGACTCCAAGAAGCCCAGATCATCTTGACTATGAAACGGAAATGGAGAAGTGTTAAAAAAAACCTTCTGCTAGCAGCAGGGTAGCTAGGTTTAATGTGCGTCTATTTATTACTAGAGTTGTGCAAACCATCGCTCATATTGGCCATGTTATTGTCGGCAAAGGCTGTAAAGTTATTTAGAAAAAAGGGCCCTTGTTTCTCAGATTGTTCAGAAAAGCTGGAGGTAAGCTAACGTTAGCTACTCACGTTGTCAGAGTAAGAGCACATTTGAAAAGATCATCAATTTCAGGCTGGGATGTTAACGTGTCCTTCAGCTGGGGGTCGAGTCCGATCCATTTCTGGGCCACATGATCTTGCCACTGAACGCAAGGAAAATCCATCACGTTCTCCGCGATCTACAAGTAAACCACGCGGGACGGATCCACGGTTAGTTTCCGTTGCACGGCCGAGGAGCACGCGGTCAAGTTAGCGTGAATGAAAAGCGAGTTTGACACCACAACCTTCAGAATATACCCCGAGTGTTTTATAAAAATACATTTGTAGCCTCGAGTGGAGTTAAGTTACTTTTCCAATTTTTCATCGAGAAGCCATCGTGACTACCATGCTTATTTACACATTTATTTTGAAGGCATGAATGTTTCATATCCGGTTTGGAAGCGATTCCCCTAAATAACGTTTTATTTTGCTTTTCTCGCGATACGTTGCACACGTTCAGTTCGACTAAACATAAATAAAGCCACAGTCTGCTCGCTTTGAGAACTACTGTACCGGGAGACATGAGTGTTGAACTCACAAAGGGAGCAGTTGAAGTAAGCGTAACAACACATACAACTGAATATAAACCGTGCGTCTTTCTCTGCCTGAGATACCAGCTTCTAGTACTTAGCAACGCAGCTCTGCTATCTGCCGATTACAGCTGTTAGCCACGCGAGCTAACGAGATCATTCACGGCTGAATCCGCACTAGCGCTGCCTTTAACCGACCAGACTACCACGTTTCTGTGTTACGTGCGAGGTGAAATAAATGCAGGTTGCGCTGAAACCATGTAACTTTGAATTAGTGGCTTGTTAGTAGCATGTTATGCCATTGTGATGGGACAGAATGTGGCCAGGCAGCAGACGCTAATGCGTGTGCGCGTGTGTGTGTGTGTGTGTCGTTGTGTAGGCACTGATCAACAGCCCGCAAGCGGACAGTGACATCATTCTGCAATTGCTGGTAAGTCGATTTTAAAAGTCCACTTGAAAAAAATGAAAGTTAGTGAAGATTACCCTTTATTTTGCTAATATTACTGTGATGTATGTGTTACGTACACATTATATTATAATTCACTATTGCATGAATGAATTGTCCAATGAAGAATATCAGGCATAATTGTCCTGGGTTTTTGGCTTATAAAATCCTTTTTTCCCTCTGTGTTGGTCAGAATATCCGTCAGCTTTCAAACAGTTCTGGTCCGTCCCGGTTCCGGCTCTTAATGAGTGATGGCCAGCACTCTTCGCCTTGTGAGTATTTTGCTGTAGCTGATAAAATGTCGGCCTTTTGTTTGGCCAGTAATGCCATCATTTATAAAGAACAAAAGTAGTGCTAAGCAAACTTGCTCCTCGTAAATGAATCAAGTACCAATAAAGGACAAGATGATCCTTTTCCACTGTGCATGAAGACGTTTGTATGTGTTTGTATGTAGCCTTCCTGTTGGCTACACAAATGAACCATCTGAACGAAGAGAACCTCCTGCAACCTAATTGTGTATGTGTGGTGAAGAAGACCATCAACAACACGTTAGCAGATGGCAGGTATGTGTTTTCATTTGCACGTCCTTACTTCACGCTACCTACCCCTTAACGCCGACAAAACTGAGATCATTGTATTTGGTGCTAAAAAAGAAAGGTTTAAAGTATCCCAACACCTTCACTCTCTGTCCCTGAAAACATCAAATAAAGCCAGAAATCTGGGGGTTATTATGGATTCAGATTTACAGATTTGGACAGTCACATCAAATCAGTAACAAAATCGGCCTACTACCACCTCAAAAATGTAGCACAACTTAGAGGGCTCATGTCAGCTCAAGACTTAGAAACCCTTGTACATGCCTTTATAACTAGTATGCAAGACTATTGTAATGGTCTCCTTGCAGGTCTTCCAAAAAAACCTGTCAGGCAGCTCCAGCTTGTTCAGAACGCTGCTGCTAGAGTTCTAACAAAGACCAAAACATGTGAGCACATTACACCAATTCTTAAATCCTTACATTGGCTCCCAATATGTCAGAGAATTAATTTCAAAATCCTACTGCTCACATATAAATCACTACATGGTTTAGGGCCAAAGTATATCACTGATATGCTTCCACTACATAAGCCTTCAAGATCACTAAGATCTTCTGACACCGATCTGTTAGTGATTCCCAGAGTAAATACAAATCATGGGAAAGCATCATTTAGTTACTACGCAACAAACAGCTGGAATAAACTTCCTGAAGATTTAAGACTTGCACCAACTCTGACCACGTTTAAAACAAGACTGAAAACTTTTATGTTCAGCTTGCCTTCTGCTAAATTTGACCTACATTGCACTTTTAACCTCTGCCTTTAATTAAACCATTTAAATAAGATTTTAATTTATAATTTTATTTGCTGTTTTTAATTGTCTTTTAATTCCTGCATTTTATTTCACTTCACTTCACTATTGTATGAAATGTTATGATGTGAAGCACTTTGAGTCTGCCTTGTGTATGAAAAGCGCTATACAAATAAAATTGCCTTGCCTTGCCTAACTGTTGCATCTAATCCTCTTTTGGCTTCTTTGTAACTTTCTACCAGGCGTGTGGTGGTTGTGCTGGATATGGAGATCCTGCAATCAGCCGCGGAAACTGGAGGGAGGATTGGGAATCCCACTTCATATGATACAACAGGTATTAGTGTTTTTAAAATGTAGTTGGGAACGGTGATAAGGAGCTTTTGCAGTTCTCTCATGGTGGTTGTTCAACTTGCAGGTAAGAAAGGCTCTCCGCAGAAGCCCAGCTCACGTCCTTCTGTGCCGACATCCCCTTCGCCGGCAGCAGTACCCGGATCCTCCACCAGTGAGTAACACGTCGAAGATTTTGTATGCTGTTACGTGCTTATGTTTAGTAATAATAACAATAACGGTGCTGCTACATCTCTGATACATTGATCCCATTGTAGTCAGCCAGAAAAATCCAATAAACTCTGAAAGGAATATCTAACAAATGTTAGCTTTCAGCACAATCAGATTTTGGAAGATCTGGTGGTACATTTTGAGTATATTCTAGTTTTTCCTGACTGGAGCAGTAGAATAAGTGAGCCTCAACTTGTCGGTCTGGTTTTCCCCCAACTTTTTATACCGCAAGCAAATTCAATGGAGGTAACTTGTGTCTCTCAAGCACAGACTCACTGATTACTGCACTGACATTCTAGCTATAGCAAGAATATACAACCGTGTACAAGAGAGTACTATGAGGCTGATGTAAAGTAGTACACAAAGAGAAAATCATTTTTAATCACAGGAAAACAATGGACACAGAGGCCCTCAGGCTATTATGTCATATAGATTTATAGTGCTCATTTGCTGTGCCGATTAAAGCAATTAAATACATCACTAAAACAGACAAGTTCAGAGTTCTTAGCAAAGTTAGATGTACTGAACTCAAGCCAACGACAGTTACAGTTGACTTGACATCACAACATTAAGTCTGAACTGAAGTCATGTGGAAGGAACTCCTAATGTTGTGCTTTATAGAAGACCAATCCTTAATAATGACTAATAATATGAAGTCGCAAAAAACATTAGGATGCTTAAATTGAACACAATTTGGACGGATATATTGGACGTATGACGGTTAGATGAGTTATGTCTTTAGCAGTTGACCTCTGCTTCCCAGAGTTCATCCTTCTCTCACATATCAACATATTATATTTAGATTGTTTACACTGTTCATTAACCGTTTTTAAACACTAGTCAGAATTCAAAGATAGTTTCACAATAACAGGACATTTAGGAGCTTGTTAGATAGTTTTGGCCCATTTATTTGAGAAAAGCTAAATAAAAAAGAGGTCTTATGTAACCAGCAGAGGGAGCCATCCACCTTTCTTTTAAAGACAAGTATGCTCATTAATGAGTTGCAATTATTTATTTTTTTCCTCAATACTGTTCTACAGCCATCATTTTGGGCCAATTGTTTTGGTCCAATTTTCACTCTCATTCACGGTACCACATTTTAACCAGCACTGTGGACTTCTTTTTCATTCCTTTTGATATTCATAGCTCTTCAGTTATGCGAGGATGTAGTCTGAGTAAGTTCAGAACTAGATTTAATGCCAAATGAATGTAGGAACGCAGTTCCTTCAGCTGAAACCTGCTTTTTTTTTTTCTTATGACAATGTGCACTTTAATCAAACTTACTGCCACGCTGTCAGTGCAGGAAACGATGCTGCCCACCGGCCACTGCGGCTACTAGACTCCATAACTCGCACCTTTCACTGTTTTACCACCAGGCATTTTTTATAACCGAGTAGGACATTCAAATAATGTGTGGCTTTCTGCCAAAATGTCTTGTGCCATGAATCATGCCTAAAGTAGCCAGTGTTTTATTGGGTCTTCTTTTATTAGCTTAGTCTTTGCTTCGTTCACTTGTTTTATACCATCGAACGCTCTTAGTATCAACATTGATTCTTGTTATGTGGCAGAAATGTACCCAGTAGTCCTCCTCAGTGGAGGATGTCGCCGTGTGGGTGGATAATCTCTGTGTGTGTGTGTGTGTGTGTGTGTGTGTGTGTGTGTGTGTGTGTGTGTGTGTGTGTGTGTGTGTGTGTGTGTGTGTGTGTGTGTGTGTGTGTGTGTGTTGTGGCTGAGGGAGCTTGTGTAGGCTGATGGTCCTCCCGGTTCATGGCTTCATGAATATTGTGGACTGAATCCCTTTCGTAGTGAGTGAGTGAGAGATAATTTGACTGAGCCACGATAAGGCTCAGACTGCTTCAAGTTGTTACCTCAGAGATTCTTCCAGATCTCAAGAACCTGCTGTTTAATTGTCAATGTGGTGCTCCATTCCTCTTAAGAGTTAAAAACCTGCGGGATCCTTAACATCTCAAAGGATTTTCTCCTGCTGAATGGTTAGAATTACTTCTCTGTCTAGTTGTGAATGGTATTTGTAATAAATTAATACATTGGTATGCGTTTACAAGATTGCTACGTGCTACGCAACAAGTGATTCCGATGACCGGGAAGGCTTAATGGACCTCACTGTCCTTCAGCGACACGGCCCTCCTCGTATGCTCGCTCCTCCCAGCGGGGGAAAGCCGGTGTTTGTATTCACGGGACGTCCTTACTCAGCGTTTCGAGAGGAGGTTTCTGATGAAACACAGCATCGCGACTGATGCCTGCTGCTCCAACAGCAATTACAGGTCTATTGCTTCGTCGGGGCGAGATATGATTAACATCAATCGATAAATGTGTTTTGTTGAGAGAACAAGACAAGATGCTGGAATCAAATCAGCAAGTTGCCTTTTCAAAGACTGCAGGTACAAGTCTGTCCAAGCTGGGCTCAACCTAAACATCACAGGACTAATTAAAAACTGCAACTGTGCAGC